CAACTTTGACACCACTTCCGAATTTCGTACTGACATATGACTATGCTCAACTATCTAGACTTCCTTCGTGATAACTGTATTCAAAGATTACCACCCCTGATACTTCGATTTCAGGCCATTTTAAGACCATTCTCGAAATTCTGGCTTTCCAAAGTTACTCCCACCTTACCCTGCGCTAAGTGCTTGGACTTTGCTCAAACTTTGTAGAAATAACGATATGAACAAAACCGACTTGATTGTGTAGGTTTGAATCTAAAATTCGAAAAAAATGTGAAAAAATATTTTTTTGGATAAACATATGTATAAATATGACTAGTGATCTTGTGCTGTGTTTTGTGAAATGTAATTAATTGTTAGTACTTCTTTGAAAACATTAAAAAAGTGCCCAAACTTCTATTGTGGATCTGTGCAGAAGTTAAATGAATAACATTTTACATTTGAAGACTTGTTGGAAGCAATACCATGACCTTAATTTGACGAYTGAAATTATTGCAAATGGTTATTAACCTATTTTCATYTGTGTGAATACTTCAAATAGCTGGCTTTTCRCAAATAAATGCATGCATGCTATTGCAATCCTGTAGCTTCCATTCAATGTYATTGCCGTTCCCCCTTTTCATAACTAAGCAATCTCTTGAATCCTCGTTACCAACGTTTGGCATGTAGCTAATTGCRTGGTTRTTGGACCATTTCAAGGAACCTTCTACATCAATATCGTTCAGACCAAGCCACGCTCCCTTCATTAAACCATCTAACATAGGCAAATACAAATCAATATCAGATTGTACTATGCTATGCTATGCTATGCTATGCTATGCTATGCTATGCTATGCTATGCTATGCTATGCTATGCTATGCTATGCTATGCTATGCTTACCTTTCAAGTTTTGTAGTTGTGTTTTCGTGAGTGCGTTCTGGAAAACATAAAAATCGCTTATCCAACCCATTAGGTGGAAATTGCCATTTTTGGCAAGTGTGTATTTTGTGTTTCCAGTGTTTTGAAGATCGATATTGTCGAGAGTGGATATCTTGGATGCCTTCTTATTGAGATTGATATAAACCATCATTTCCTTTGAAGTACGATTCCACGTTACAGCAAAATGGGTCCATTTATCAATTTGAAAACTGCTAAAAAAATGATTTATGCCAAGTTAATAATGCTAAAAATAACTCAATTTATAAATATCGATATAAGATGATTCTAGGCCCGGCTCCCATGACCCACGTCCGTTACAATACTACCCATTTCGCTATACCTTTTCGCTGTCGAGGCGCTGATCAATTTCCCTTTAGCTGTTTTGAATTGAACAGTTAGTGCGCGGTCGTTGGTCGATTGAATGGAAAACTGTCTTTTGCTATCTTTAATATCGTTAAACATATTGATAGCTGTTKCCAGACKTTTTACGCGGAACCAGAAGGCAATGGTTAAATCAACGTTCCTGGCGTGGAAGCTTTTGATCTTTGCGTAGTCATTGTCACCATCGAAKTGAATTCCTCTTCGTCCACTTTTATCCATGTACTTTGCACCGTTGAACAAACTAAAAATGAAGAATGTTACATTTAGATGTTTCTCTCCGAGTCAGCAGGCTTGTTCTATACTTAATAATTATTTATGAACAACTTACGTCACTTCGCCTGCATCATCAGTGCCATCCAGAGAGTAAAGTTTGAAGAAGGTAGCTGGGAATTAAATATTGGAATGGACTCATTTTTTTATAATTAAAATTATAGCCACACCCGTTACCGTTATTCRATACAGTGTTTTGGATAGGAAGATCACGAGGGACAGGATTGAAATAGACAAAAACGTTGTCCTGAGATTTAGTGGTTTAGGAGCTTGGTAACACATTTTAAAAAAGACAAAAAAAAAATGAAACTAAAGCTGAACACTTTCTCTTGTATTTTGATTAATAACTAAATATCCCCGTGTTCTTTAGCCTGAAAATACTGGCAGATTAAGTACCACAAACTATTAATACATGTATTACTTTAAAATATTTAATGCTTAGAAAAAACGCTTAAATTCAAATGACGGGAAAGCGTTTAATAAATGAGAGGAATATTCTTATCGCAGAAACGATAATGAAAAAAGTAAACATACAGATAAACTTTCAAACATKTCTAGAAAAAAATATAAATAAAGTGCAAAGAAATTAAATTTTCCAAATCTGAATTAATGCTCCTCTTTATTTCCAATGCTGCCTACTGATGTTAAAAATTATGTATTTCTCACTTTGCGTGAATCCTCGTTTGTGAAATCTTCAAGTATTTTTTACAAAATTGCTCCAAAGATCCCTGACCATTCAATATAACCATTGTGATTTAAAAAGTTGTAAGTTATAAGAATGATCGTATTTTAAGAAGCAGTTAGATATAGCAGTTAGTTATATTTTCATCATCCTGATACATTTCATATACTCACGATACATCAATACGCTTTTCACAAATTTGTTTTCTATCTGCGAATGAACGGTCATCAAGTCTCCGCCTATAGACCGGCAATAGGATCTTGCATCTGCCCAGTTTTTTATTGAATAAATCGTCTTCAACAGCGATCCATTGATTCTGTACCATTTATCAGCCAGAGCTATATTTAACAATGAAGGGAAGAGATTAAGAAAAAACTAAATACATCAATATCATGAAAGGCTACAGGCCTAGTATAAGCTTTGATTGTCGTTATAGGTTTCTCATCGTCGTGATATTTTGTAACTGGCTTCTTGCTCCCGGGGAAAATCTCCCTTGGCGCGAAATCGTTTATTAAACTTGCTGTCGATTCTTCGATGGCGTCTAGTATGCAAGTGATTGCTCCTGAATGGTCAGTGTAATCGAATTCTCAAACTGCATGCTTGGTAGTTTTCTGGTCGCCATTTTAAAGTTTGAATCAGGAAATGCCTCTGACAGACTCCGTTCCCAGGAGTATCTTCTTTGAGAACTTGAACAAAAAAAAACCAAAAAACTGCCCCTTGGTTCCTTAGGATGGCGCAAACGTCTGTTGTTTTTTTTGTTTGTTTGTTTGTTGTTGTTGTTTTTTTTTTCTTCTTCTTCTTCTTCTTCTTCTTTGTTTTTTTAAGAGGTATTGGTTCATTGATTGGCTTTGATGTACTGAATTTGTTCAGGTAAGAATTGTCAGTGACCGTCGACTTGCTTCTTGGAATAGCCTCCGTTTATACATATACTTTGACAGTAATTTCTAGTTCCATTTGTTATGCTTCTGGACTGTGTGAGAGACCTACTCCGGTCCAGAAAGTCGCATTAAGTCGTTGCAACTTAAGCAACTTAAGACGACTTAAGAAAATACGAGRGTAAATTGGATTATAATAAGGTGAGGTCCCTTGTCGACTTAGAGCTTCTTAAGGCAACTTTCTGGCTCGGAGTAGGTCTGAAGCATTACTTACCATTTTTCTTTACACATTCATCTCCAACACAATACTGAAAATCCTACAGAAGGAACAATATTATACAAGATTGTCAAAAAACGCATTGCAACAGGTTGCTAAATTAAGTAGGTGAAAGCTAATCAAGGCAGAACAGTGACTATAATCCAATATATCCAATAGATTGGTCGATGTCACATTTAAAATGAATTGTTGGGACTACGGATAATTTGCAAAAGAGCTGATGAGAAATCAAACTTGTGCAAAATAAGACTTTGCATATATATATATATGAGAGGGTACATCACAAAAGGGGTCTTGTGTCTAGCGTGAAAATCCAGCCCTCCCAAAGAAGCCAATTAATTCACGGTGCGCATCAAAAGGGTCTTAATTCTTTAGATACCTTTTGTGCTGTCCNTATGTATTTCTCACTTTGCGTGAATCCTCGTTTGTGAAATCTTCAAGTATTTTTTACAAAATTGCTCCAAAGATCCCTGACCATTCAATATAACCATTGTGATTGAAAAAGTTGTAAGTTATAAGAATGATCGTATTTTAAGAAGCAGTTAGATATAGCAGTTAGTTATATTTTCATCATCCTGATACATTTCATATACTCACGATACATCAATACGCTTTTCACAAATTTGTTTTCTATCTGCGAATGAACGGTCATCAAGTCTCCGCCTATAGACCGGCAATAGGATCTTGCATCTGCCCAGTTTTTTATTGAATAAATCGTCTTCAACAGCGATCCATTGATTCTGTACCATTTATCAGCCAGAGCTATATTTAACAATGAAGGGAAGAGATTAACCAAGAAAAAACTAAATACATCAATATCATGAAAGGCTACAGGCCTAGTATAAGCTTTGATTGTCGTTATAGGTTTCTCATCGTCGTGATATTTTGTAACTGGCTTCTTGCTCCCGGGGAAAATCTCCCTTGGCGCGAAATCGTTTATTAAACTTGCTGTCGATTCTTCGATGGCGTCTAGTATGCAAGTGATTGCTCCTGAATGGTCAGTGTAATCGAATTCTCAAACTGCATGCTTGGTAGTTTTCTGGTCGCCATTTTAAAGTTTGAATCAGGAAATGCCTCTGACAGACTCCGTTCCCAGGAGTATCTTCTTTGAGAACTTGAACAAAAAAAAACCAAAAAACTGCCCCTTGGTTCCTTAGGATGGCGCAAACGTCTGTTGTTTTTTTTGTTTGTTTGTTTGTTGTTGTTGTTTTTTTTTTCTTCTTCTTCTTCTTCTTCTTCTTTGTTTTTTTAAGAGGTATTGGTTCATTGATTGGCTTTGATGTACTGAATTTGTTCAGGTAAGAATTGTCAGTGACCGTCGACTTGCTTCTTGGAATAGCCTCCGTTTATACATATACTTTGACAGTAATTTCTAGTTCCATTTGTTATGCTTCTGGACTGTGTGAGAGACCTACTCCGGTCCAGAAAGTCGCATTAAGTCGTTGCAACTTAAGCAACTTAAGACGACTTAAGAAAATACGAGRGTAAATTGGATTATAATAAGGTGAGGTCCCTTGTCGACTTAGAGCTTCTTAAGGCAACTTTCTGGCTCGGAGTAGGTCTGAAGCATTACTTACCATTTTTCTTTACACATTCATCTCCAACACAATACTGAAAATCCTACAGAAGGAACAATATTATACAAGATTGTCAAAAAACGCATTGCAACAGGTTGCTAAATTAAGTAGGTGAAAGCTAATCAAGGCAGAACAGTGACTATAATCCAATATATCCAATAGATTGGTCGATGTCACATTTAAAATGAATTGTTGGGACTACGGATAATTTGCAAAAGAGCTGATGAGAAATCAAACTTGTGCAAAATAAGACTTTGCATATATATATATATGAGAGGGTACATCACAAAAGGGGTCTTGTGTCTAGCGTGAAAATCCAGCCCTCCCAAAGAAGCCAATTAATTCACGGTGCGCATCAAAAGGGTCTTAATTCTTTAGATACCTTTTGTGCTGTCCCTTCTCATATATATATGGCCAACAATGACTAGACCCATTTAAGGGGAACCCGCGCAAGAATTTTTTAGGACTTCAGGCGCACCTGTAATTTTTTTCTTTTTTGGTAAATTTACAAAAGCTTTAGTGCAGATCTTTCACAATATTTTGTCTTGCAGTAATTTTTTCCGTCCCTGGGGGCCGTGCAGGATTTTTCAAAATCACCCTCAAAGTTCTAATGGATCGCCCCTAAAGCCATAAAGCTACGTCCACTCAGTTCTTCTAAAGAAACAGTTGTGTAAAAAGATAAATTAAACACCGTAAAAAAGTAGGCGAAATAACTTACTGACGTTTCGGACGCTTTTTCACCWACTTTTTTAAGGTGTTAAATTTATCTTTTTACACAACTGATTATAACAAAGAATGGTTTGTGCATGGCTATTAAGAGCTATTCTTAACCATTGTTGAGGATTGAGACGTTTCCTTGGAAGAACTAAATAAATCCACATGTTYATTAGGTAAAAACTCTGCCTGTGGTCGTCATGGTTACCTGTGGTTCGCCATATTGATAYCCATGAAGAGGAATGTACGAACTCTTGCTTTGGTTYTTGTTTGATAGATTCAACTCACAGAGGTGATCACTAGTTCCATTTTGGAAATAGACGTAGTTATAAGAAAAACATTCCAATGTATTTTGACATTCTTGAATGCATTCAGCAACAAACTGCACGTACAGCGTCTTGATAACATGGCCAAAAAGAGCATAGTCTTTATTGGTCTCAAAAACTGAAGACGACGACCAAAGTTGATCTACGTTGATGAGATTTTGGCTGAAGACAACACCAGTCGTTATGAGCAGCAGGGAAAAGGCTTTGTTCTTCATTGGTRAACTGATGAGACCTTGAATAAGATGTGATGCACTTTACCTATAGACTCAATCTCATTAACGCTGTTCATTTTTAAATAAAGACAACTGTAGTGTTATCGTATATTCTAATCGTATAGTTCGGGTTACCTGTGTGTGTTTATATATAGTTCGGGTTACCTGTGTTTTGTAAGGAGTCCAACATGGCGGTTTAGTAATCACACGAGACAACAAGCCGTCTAAATCTTTCTCTAAATCATCCATCACAACGCAATAACACCGATTGCAAAAATGCAGGTTCTAAAATACCCAGGAAGTAATTTGATTCGAAACCGCCAGATAAGTAGCTCTTTACATTGTATTTAAATATTCATGATATATGCAAATTTAGTTGTTGTTGTCATTAATATGTTCATACGTARACTGTATATTTCTATTTATTGATGATTAAACGGTTTGATTATGAATATGTGTTTCCTGGCGCTCTTGCCGCTTTATTTTGCGTAATAGCAAGTAAACGAAGAAGATTCTACTAATCCCCCCCTYCCCCCCGGGACTAATGCCTGCGTACAAAGAAATCTTAAATATGATAACATTCGTTGGTGTAGATATTTCATAATAAAATAATTATCAGTCTCATTCATAGTATCAGTATTAAATCAATTATTTGTAGATGATAAAGCTTGAGTCAATGTTATTTTGACCGAAGATTGATCATATATGAACAACTGAAGACTGTGGAAAAATAGAAAATTAGACACTTACAGTTGTTGATAAACTGGAAACTATACTTCATAAGAACAGCTTGACAAGAATGGTCGAGCTAGACTGATGTTGTTTAATTTTCTGCGGTAAATGTTTGCCGAAGTTAACGAAAAATCGTAGTTTTCATTCCTTGAGACAGTTCAAATTGTCTTCTATCGGAGGTCTATCGGAGGTCTATCGGAGGTCTATCGGAGGTCTGCTATTAGGTTTCGCATAATAACACTTATAAATCGATGGAAACTTATCAATTGATGCAAATATGCCCATCAGCCCAAGAAAGAATGATTCAAATCAATCCTATTCAGACTTATAAATAACTCACCAGCATTGTCATAGTTAACATGACCGTACTGCGACACCTGGAATGTAATGTATTGAGCATCAATATTATAGAATCTTCCAGTTCAAAATACGGTCACAATAGAGTGACAATAGTGCAATAATCAAAGCGCGACTGTTTCACGAAAGAAATATAAGGTCATATAGTAACGTAGTGAGGCATGTTGTGTTTCTAGGTCTGTTACAGAAAGGTCATAAAGTGATCGATAATTTTTGCATGAATTTCATGTGCTGGTTCGATATCGCTATTGRGTCTTTCGTATATATGGACTTTTAATAAACATCGCTAAACCTGCAAATGCAACACGGCAATGCATTTCAGCGTATTAAGAAATGTAAAATTACACCATTCTTTGTACAATTTTCTGTCAGAGTTAATTAATTAGAAAATCTAAATAATTGAAAAAAAACTATAAAAATAATCAACTTTTGTCGAATAAGAAGTGTGACAATAGGTCGTTTGTAAGAATAGYGAGTCAACGGCTACATGTTGAGTGCTGTGTTTGAAGACTGTAAATTATACATGGGACTAGAATCCTCTGCCGAGTTCTTTATACTGCAAAAATCAACGCCTTTTCAAACATTCCCCGATAAAAAAATTTTTTTTGATATTTTGTTGTAGAACAAAATTGATAGAAAAAAAACATTGGGAAAAAATCTGATCAGAATAGATTTAAAAAAAAAAACCTGAGAAACGTGCAGAAACTATTTGCATGAAACAAGCTAGAGGGCAGTATCGTTGAACGGACCGTTGGATGTTTATCAATAAAATTTGACAATGGATAATAAAAAATAACAAAAATTAAGATAATATTTTTCAATTTTTATGGGGACAGGGTCTATTTTCTTGTTTGTCTTGTCTTTTGTCATGTTTGTAAAGCTTTTTCTTCTTTGAAATCGACAAAGTCGCCATTGCATAAAACAGCTCACGTGATTTGCCATGCAAAAATTGGCTGTGTGTACATAGAAGTGCATGGAGCAATATATGTTAAAAGCTTAATAAAAAAACTTTTCAAACAGCTTTTCATGAATGCAAAACGATCACTTAACAATCACATGCAGGTGTTTTAACAACAAGTATTTGACTCCTGATTGATTTTATAAGACCTAATCTAAGATAACCTTAACTGAATTGCCATCAGAAAATGACAAAAGAGAATACCTTCGAATACCTTATATTTCTTGTTCTGTTCCTCGGTGTAATTCCTACTATGTCGGGAAAAGAAGAGAAATAATTCTGAGGTGTTGATGCTATGTATAAGTCATTGAATTCTTGGCCATTCAAACGGAGTACAATTGTCACTATGCTGGAGTCTGTTCACCTGTCCTTCTACACGCGTGCAGTCGATCATYAAATAAATAAATCGWCTTTATTTTACGAGGGTAACACGTGACAGTAAAGAACTGATGAACTTGTGGCCCTCACACTCACACTCACTACCTCTACATTAATTATTTTAGCACACAACACTCCTCACATGTTGATTTTTTACTGAGGGAGGAAAACCGGAGGACCCGGAGAAAAACCCTCGTGGCAAGGGAGAGAACAACACAAAGTACATTAGTACACATCAGTAGAGCTTACTGTAATTTCCCTAACAACCGAAGAATTCATCAATCAGGTTCATAAGCCGGGGAGGGATGTGCACTCTGTCAGAGCACAGCATACATTCAATGGGTCATATTTGAGGCCTGTAACCAAAATCTGTCGACTGATAGGCAATTGATTATTTAGCATCCTTCAGCATTCTTTTTTGAGAAGAAGAAGAAGAAGAAGAAGACTAGAAAAAGAGAATATGCTCATGAAATTAAAAACACAAACTTTAATATCCACATGAGAGGGTCTCAATGGGGTTAACCGTGAGCCGTGAAACGGCTAAAAAATTAGCCGTGAGTCGTGAAAATGCGAAAAAATTAGCCGTGAGGCGTGAATATTTTTTTATAGCGTGAGCCGTGATTCAGTTTTGTCCCTCAGAAGGACAGTCAACTCCGATGTATAAAAGCTTCAGTGGAGATTTTTCACAATTTTTCCTCGGTCCGTTCAGGAATTGTTTTCCCTAAATCTTTTTCACTCTTCCACCCCCACCCCCTCAAAATTCTACTGGATCGTACATCGAAGACTTTAAGTGGGAGCCGATCATATAGCCACTTCGTAAAAAAAAGTCGGTTCTCAGGAAAGTTCCAAACACAAGAGATGACAATAATTCTGCAAAAAAAAAAAATAAATAAATAAATAAATAAAAAAAGAAGATAAACAATAAATAAAATAGAAATGAAAATTCACAATCAGTAAACGTGTCGTCCAGGGAATCGATCCCCCTACCGTCAAACCTACATTGGATTTGCAAACAGCGCCTTAACGCGGTGCGCCACTGGAYCACRCTCATTTACATAATAATAGACCACTTGGCACTTTCACCGAATAGACTACCCCAATTTGACATTATACTTTCGATAGTTGCCTAGTTAGTGCAAGGGGTTATCCATCAGTGTCTAGGGGCCGGATAGCTTCTCCCTCACTGGCTTTTTAGTTAGCGCGAAGTTAGGACCAATTATCGGGATAGCATGGAAGAGCCGAAATCTCTAACCGGAATGTAAATCGATTCGCCGCCTCAGCTTCACAGAATGTCTCGGGGGAATCGTCCCAACCTTTTTTCGATTTTATGGTCATGGGTTCGAATCCCACCACTCAAGTTTTTTTCTTTTTTCATATTTCTTTTTTTTTTCTTTTTGTTGTTGTCTTTGATTAGCTTAATCACTACATTAATGATTGTTTGCAATATCTCCAGAATCATTTAGTAATTATTTCTATATATTTCTATAATGTGATATTTTAAAGCGCGCTTTCATTGGCTTGTTTTCATTAAACGCCAGGTTTTCACAGCGCGGCGATTTCGCAATCGAGAATCAATTTTTAAACAGAGTGGCCGAGTTATGTTTTCTATTCGTAMKKACATTGTATATATTCTGAAATTTTCTGTAATTAGATAAGATATCGATTTTAAAATACTATARTTAGTTATAAAAGGTGTGGAAAATACAAAATGTAGCCGAAGCCGCTAAGTGTGTAGATCGAGTTTACAACAAATAACTTTCAAAGTTATAAAAGGTTTTTTCTTTCTTAGATAGTATTTTTGGGATTTGTTTTGTAACAATTGTAACAAAGATGACATGCGCACGCAAGTTATACTGGACTCTTTTTCCCCGCGTTCCGGGTCGAAAGGTGGCCAGGACTGGACTAGAAATAAAGTCCTCGGAATGAGGTTTGATTGAATATTGACATCAACTGGTCAAGGTTAAGGTCATCATGCATCAATAAAATCCCCTTATGAGTTTTAATAAAAAAATTCAAACGTTTAGTTTTACCACTAAAAACATGTAAAAACACCATACTTTCGGATCTCATCTCAAAGTTTTGAATATTGAGAAAAATAAGAAAACAGCGTTTTCGGGAAATGGTCACGTGACCCATTTCCTAAAGTATCTCCTTAAGGCTGATTTACACGGCACGACTGTGCGATTTGTAGTATACGACTTGAATCGTGCAGTGTAAATGCCCCTACGACTTGTCTACAACAGTCGTACGCAACCTACGACTTGTAGTAGGATTTTGAACCACTGCTTAAAATCCTACGACTTGTAGTAGGAAAATCGTATACTACAAGTCGCGCGCGACAAATCGTACCGTGTAAATCAGCCTTTAGTGAGAACGTTTAGACAAAAAACAGGAATGCTGCTTTGATAACTAGGAAGTAAACGCAGTTGTTGGTTTTATTAGTATCTGTTTGAATGGCGAATACATGTTAAATCAAAAAAAAACAACAAACAAACAAAGAGTAATACGAATTAGTTGTTTGTGCTTAATGAGTTTAGTTAAACAAGTTAGGACAACAAGAGATTTCGACGTTTCGACGCCATCGCGCGTCATTTTCAAGAATAATTTATTAGATTGMTCACTACAGTTTTTATATGTTATTGAATATATTACATGTCTCTTGTCGAAATCTCTTGTTGTCAACTTGTTTAACAAAAGAGTAATAATGTGATAAAGTTTGATTAGGTTTAGATTGTATGTCGATAGTTTATGAATTTTAGGTCATATTCGGCCTGAACGAGGATCGAGTTGGTCTCTGAAAGAATGAGGCAAAGTGGGAAATGAAAATTTTGAACTACCTTTGGGTCTCTGAAAATAGAAGTTTTGGCTTTCAAATGCACTGCTATTCTCAAGAAGCTTGAGCGTTCATTCAATCTGACCGTGGGATGTGAAAACAAAAGAGAGAGACCAAAGGGCATTCCAAAGGGTGAAATGGGGTAAAATAAGAAGTGTAATGGACACAGGACTCCCGTTTGCATTTGCGAAAACAACAAAATCCACTTAGAAGTTAGCATTCAAACAAAGTTAGCATAGGGTTTGAAGGCTCATATAAGGAGAGATTGCGGAAGAATTTCCTTTGACTTTATTTCATGCGAATATGTTTGCCTTTGTTGGAGAAGAGAAAATCCATCGTTGACCAACACAGCACTGATAGGAATTATAGAAATAGCATCAATACATTTTGAACGGAGACGCACATTACTCTTTGAGCTTTTAAGATAATGAAATCTTAAGATCGAGGGAAGGAAGGCGTCTTGATAAATACTGAGGAATCGTAACACAGTATTTCCTCTATTTCCGCGATGTCGAGTGTGAATTCTGGACGAGCTGGATGAGAAACTGACAAAGGAATTCCATAATGATCTTTTTTTATTTGGCTTTTATTATCATAGATTATATAGAAGAATGAATATATAGATAAAGTCGAACTGTTCTTAGTACGTGCGCGCTCTGATTGGCTGATTATATTTAGTATGATATTTCCCTCAGAACGTTACGTAAGACTTTTTATCAACAGCCCTGACTGCCAGGAATAAAAAAAAGATTCAAAATAAAATCCTTTCTGACCGATAGCATATACAATGTACATATATGAATTTTTTTACTTTTAAGACCAGATGTGAGACATCGAAGTTTTTAAAAACATATTCTTTCAAACAAAGCCTCGTTATTAACGAGGTGGGCGTATTAACAAGGTTTGCGCGCGCTCTGATTGTCTGATCTCCTGTGTAATATTTTCCTCGGAACGTTACCAAGACAATTCGCAAATTTGATAACGATAAAAAGTTTTACCTAAATTACGTTTTAACCTTCTCAACTACTAAAAACAACGCACGAAGATTAAGAGATTCAAGTCAGTACGATATGAAATCCTCGTCTCTTACTYTACTTTTGCTCGACTTAATTTAATAATCCAATTTCGAATTCTCCAATGCTCTGTGCCTCATTTGT